CCTCGATCGCAGTCCCCTCTCCTCCTCATCATCTCCTCCCTCACCTCGCTGCCTCCAGAGGAGATGTTGGGTGAAGTCTCGTGGTTGTTGATGAAGGGGGTGACAGGTCTCCTCATGGTGGAGGTAGCCGAGTAGCATTGGGAGAGGAGGTAGTCGGTTGTAGTGTCGGCATGATGCATAGCAGCGGCGGGTAATGGGGTCAACAATGATGTTGTGATGTCTGGCCGCTTGGTATGTGGATCCCAATTCCTAGTGGCATATGGCTGCATGCATCGCCCAGATGCAGAGGCCGGGGGTAATCCTCCTTTTCAAAAAAAATCCCAGTGGCATGGTAGGTCTCATCTGACCTCGAGCACAGAATCCCCCAGCATCTCGTGGCTCGGTGCAGTACATGTCAGATTGTGGCTAAGAAAGTGGTGGTGTGCAAATAACTCGTTTAGCGGCCAAGGCCGTGCCCAGATCTACCAGTGGCTTACACCAGCGACGAAGGTGGAGCTTGTTTAAGCGTCCCAAAATGTGGGGTATTGGCGGTGTTAGAGTCCCTCCCCTGTCATCAGACAGTGCATGCTGGATTCGCCTTTGTTGGATCAGCAAATGGTAGGGGTAACTCATGCGGCTTCATTTTGATGGTGCTTCCTGGAGTGCCGATCTCCAACTCCGTGGTGAAAACCCTAAGTCTAACATTAATTGGTTGAGCCTACCATAATGTTTTTGCATTGGTCCATGTTGAAGACATTGTTTGGAGTTTGATCAAACTTGATCTTCAGGTTGAAAACCCATGATCTAGTCCTAAGTGGTTGGATTCAATAACGACGACTCGTGTGCCTCATTCTCTTCCTTGACACCTTGCTTTTTGAAGAACCATTCTCACAATCCACATGTTGTCAGGGGATGGTCGGCGTTGCTGCTTGCCGTCGATCGTCGTTGCACTTTTTTTAACATCCTCGATGTCTTGACTAGTTTTTAATATTGTGGCATTGCAGTCTTGCAGATGCCCGGTGTCATCGGCATATTCTCGATATTACTATATTATTGTGTATGCAAAAACATCAGTACACGGTGTCATTAACGGAACTGATATTACTGCAGTTCCATATGGTACATACAGTTTTGTGTATGATGTTCATCTTAGCTGACTAAGACTTGCAAAAAATTCAGGTAGCTAAAAATGCTGAAATTTGTTCTTTTTATTAATTAGTGAAAAGAAAGGCTAAGATCTTGTTAAAAAAAAGGAGGTCGTTTGTTCGTTAAAATGACAAGCACTTTCAAATAAGTTAGCTCGGTCAATTCAACGACTTTTGAACTGAGCCCAAGATATGAAATTGCTTCTTTAGTGGTGTAATGCCGTTGCAAAGCCGGCTTAATCATTATTTGTAGTTACCAAGAAGAACAAGCGTGCGACTTTGGTTGAGCTGCAAAAAAGGAAGGCAAGGAGACGTGAAAAAATGAAAAGGTGAAGCTAAGTGGCACGTCAATCTCTCTCACGCCCCACTCGCAACAATTTCCTATTTTGATTGAAGTGAAAACTCAACAGCCAGAAGTAAAATGAAGACGTGTTTGTTGTCTTTTGCACAAGCCACAGTGAGCCGTGTTTATTAACAGATCTTTACATGCGTAGCTTTGTGATTTTTTTTCTTCAAAAATCTGGAAAAACTTTTGCCTGACATTTTCCCATTGAGAGTACCAATTCACTCCCACCATCAAACTGTCATATCTTAATCTCACAAAAAAGAAAAACTGTCATATCTTAAAGGGGGTAGCTATGTATTTTGATTTAGAGAAAGCTATTTCTCAATCGACTTTTGGTGGCCATCAGATCAATGTTTTCTCATCCGCTCGCACTTGCATAAATTCTGAAGGTTACAAACGAAAACAGTTATTTCTCAACCTCTCATTGACAAGTAATAGACCCGTTCGGTACTATATGAAACTTGTCTAATCACTCTAAACTAAAAATATCTTTGGCCATATCTCCAGTGTCAACTGTCAAAAGTCAATCCACAGTGGCAGATAGAGAGGTTAAAAAGGTACTACTCCCTACTGACTTTTAAAAAATATTGTGACGCTCAACGCGTGTTCTCGTCATTAGCAAAGATCTTACAATCTATACAATGATCGATATGCACACACTAAATAGAGAATCAATTAGTAGAGCCAACCCTAGGCCCGCACTGCTGCTTTAGGCTGGTCACAATGGGGAGGAACTTAGGAGTAACATCACACACTCCAATACAACTTTGCTTATGTGGCACATATTTAATGAAGAGAGAGGTGCTTGTGGTAACTAGCTAAATTACCGGAACATCACACACTCCAAGAATTAATGAGTCTATAACCTAATAAATACTACATCGTTGCATGACACTAAATAGATGTTCCTACCCACTATGAAGGTAGTAACATAGTCTAGAGAAGTGTGTAAGTTACTAACTTATGTTCTTGCCCATTGTGATCAGCCTTACATGAGATCCGGTTAAACTGAGATGAGATCCCGATTAGTTTAACCACTACTCATTACCGACGAATCGGGTCGACGCGTATAGGATCTCGCCCGCCTGCCTTATCCCCTCTGCTCCGTCGAGATGGCGATGGATCCGCCGATCGGACGGCTGGGCTTGGATTGACCCGCGGGGAAAGGGAGGTCCGAAGTTCAACGAAGATTGCACGCTTGAGGATTAACGTGTGTTGCTTGCATGTTGTTGTTTCCGAACTGCTTGCTTGCTTGCTTGACTGCAATGCGATCCGGGTTGACACGTGCGGGGAGTCTCCGCGTGGATCGGCGCAGAGCCACTCATGCATGGGTGATGGGTCTGCGTCGTCCATCATCACGTCGTGTTCAGGTTCAGGTACGTCAACTCTCTGCTCTGCTCCGAGGCAAGGTTGTTTGATGTAGATATATGACGTGGGTAATTATATTGCTGGTGCCTCGAAAATCAGTAGTATTTCGCTTGTCGTCGTGTATCAGTGTATGATGCTGATGATAACCTCGCTTGGCCACCTTTGCGCCAAACGCGTGTGTGCTTTCTGTGCCGAATGCAAAGGTGGCCATGCCACGACGACGTGGCGGCGTTCACGGAGACGTTGCCGCGTCCGGCTTACTCTTACTTCCTCCGTCCGGAAATACTTGTCATCAAAATGAACAAAAGAGGATGTATGTAGATGTATTTTAGTTCTAAGTACATTTTTTTATATTCATTTTGATGACAAGTATTTTCAGACGAAGGGAGTACCAAACTATCTTCAGCCGACTCATGTCCGACACGAGGCACCCAGAACTACAAGTCTACTTGCCTCGTACGTATGTTACGCTTGTCTTCCGCCGCGAGTCCAGATCCCTCGACGCTTCTAGGTGTCTGATGGACGCGGCGCACCATGTCATCCGCTCCCGTAAGTTAAAGGGCGATGCTGGGCGCCGGCGCACCGACCGAACGTTTCGGTCGGTCGCATTCTAGCCGTCAGATCGGCCCGTTTCGAGCAGTTGGATTTTTATCCAACCAGATCATCTTTTTCCTTTCGCGAGCGCGTACGAGAAAAGGAATCCCGTCTCGCCGGTCGCACGCATTCTCCCTCGGCACCGCCCCCTCGCCTGCCCTCCTTGTCTCTGGTCGCCGCCCTCGCCAACCGCCCTGGTTGCCGGTCCCAGCCCTCGGCGGCCGTCCTCGTCACCGGCTTCGCCCATGCAACAGCCCACCCCTGCTGTTGTAGCTTCCGTGGCAACCGTTGTAGCTCCGGTGGCGACGACCGAAGCTCGCCGGTGTGCTCGCCGGCGGTCATCCCCCGCTTGCAACAAAAAATCGAGCGTCCGGGAGATGCCCAGTGCTACAGTCGATGACGGAAAAAGCTACAATCGCTGATGAAAAAAGTTTCAACCGGCTATGAAAAAAGTTTCAACTCGTACGACAGGAAACTATGAACGACCAAAGAAAAGTTACAACTAGTGACAAAAAAGATTCATCTGGCGAACGAAAAAAGCTTCATCCAACGATGAAAAAAAGCTTCAACTGTGGAGCCGTAAGCCATGGACGACAAACGAAAAACTATAACCGACAGTTACATGACAGTGACGTCATTTTGCTGCAACCATAGTTGGTTTTGCTACAAACAGCGTTGGAATTTGCTACAACCATTTTCACGGCTACTTGCTGCTACTCCGCCGAGCTCCCACGCCCGCCCATGGCCATCGTCGCCACGGTGTCGTTTTGGGAGGAAAAAGGTTCAACGGTTGCAGCTCCGCGCGTGGTCGGTTGCAGCTCAGACATGGTCGGGTCCGACAAGGCAGGCAGAACTCCAGTGGCGCGGATCCGAGCAGATCTGACCGAGGGCGGTCGGTTCGGCTAATTCCCATGGCCGCGGCGTCCTGGGAGGCCTGCAGGCGTCTATGGTAACGACAAGGGTCTGAGAACGAAGCAGAGAAGAGAAGGAGAGAGATGAGCGACAAAAGAAAAAAAAAGGAAAAAGGTATGAGGGACATCTGCGTGCGGGCCCTTTGACCACATGGCACTTTGCGAGGACGCGTGACCGGCCGAGCGTTCGGCCGGCGCGCCGTTCGCAAATGTTTACCTAAGTTAAAAGGAACAACTTGCTAAATCAGACTTGGTTATGTCTCAATCGATGCTATATTTGTGAGATTAAGATCCGTGCAATTTTTTTAATGTTATGTCACCTGACTGAAACTTGGTTAAGTCTAAATAGATTGAGACCTAGCCACGCCCAAAAAGAAAATAAAACTTACTGAACTGACACAAATTACATCCAGATTTTCACCTTCTGACCAACAGGGAGTTTGCAATCACAACATTCGGCACATGAACCACAGTAACCACCCCATTCAGCAACACGAGCCACCGCATGGAGACGCCGGTGCCGATTTATTCATGCCAACACGCAAGGTTACATACACACGATTATTCCCCGAAGGTCAAGCAACACACACGGCCACAAGCAAACCAACCCGAGGGATGCGCTTACAGATACAGGCAGCAAGAGCAGTCAAGCTCTACTCATGAGATTGTGATCACCGGGGGCAGCTTGTCTGACAGACCGCCGATCATCCTCTCCGCGTGCACTCCCCGTTCGCCGGTGCGTACCCTTACAACGTCCGCGACGGGTATCACTGGCAAAAAGGGCAGAACAAACAGATGAGGCCTAAGCATGAGATCATGACAAGGTGCGTCTAAGGATAGTACTAGTAGAGATCATGATTCCTGGGTTTCTAAAAACACAAGCCAGCTGTGGGAAAGCATTGGGATTCTATGCATGTGAAACAGCACTTCAGGACTACAAACACACACTTCTCGAGGGCATGCATGTTGTTGCGACACTATGCTTTGCTGTTTTTGCACTAATAGTTTGGTATTGTGGTTAGCTTCCTGGAGATAAGTATTTCAGAGTGGCAAATACTAAGTGACAGCAACGACTGTACGGAAATAAGACTAAACCCAACAGCATGATTGCAGACTTCTAACAGTCACCAAGGAAACTGTGCGCTTACAGAATATCTTCCCATCGCCAATTTCTCCAGTTCTGGCCTTTTCAATTATTTTGTCAATTACTGGCTCCACCTGGACAGTGCAAAAACACATTAACATACTGCAAAACAAAACCTTCAGAGAGATACACAGAATGGACGGCACAAATATTTTAACAATACTATATATAAGTGAACAGCAAAGCAAATTGTATCATAGAGAAAGAAGGTACTCCCTCTGTAAACAAATACAAGACGCTTTAGGTCACTAAAGTAGTGATCTAAAACGTCTTATATTTGTTTAAAGAGGGAGTAACTATTTGTATCACAGATAAAATTGTATCATTTCGATGCTATGATCAGCTATCTCAACCAGAGGGCATGAAAGATGTGCACTTTCTTTTTCAGGATCAATAAAAAAATAAACAAGCAATTACCTGCTCCTTGCACACGACTATTTCCATTTTAACTTTAGCAATAAATGTATCTTCTGAAAATTCTGACCCTGCAAACCAACAATGAGCAAGCATCAGCATAAGAACTTAGAACTGCATAAAGTAGACTAGTTACTGAATAGCATTAAAAATTAATATACTTGATTAATTAGGCATGTAACATGACAATACTGATACGAATGCTAAAATCCTTACTTAGATCAGAGTTGGTGGTGAGTTCACATGTGGACCCAACATCCTTTCCAAATAAAGGAATACACACATCCCCATATGTAAAACTAGCAACCTTCCAAGAGACATATAGACAAATGTACCTTACTCACATGTGGGATCTATCATAAATAAACAAATACACTACTTTCATGTGAGACCAACTTTTTTAAAAGGAATAAATAACAAATACAAAATTGTGACTTCAGCTCAAAATTGATCTTGGTTTTAGTTTTTCTTCCCAAACTACTATGGTCATTTAAAATTCTCTGACTTGCATGCCTCTCACCGTATTTTTGTTATATTTTCTAATCTTAAATCATGCAACAGCCACAAAGGACACTAACGTTATTTGAAAACCTCCTAAGTCAATTGCTTCATGGCAACGCACGGGCATCGTGCTAGTTACTCAAAAGAATCCATGTCTTTATCCTGATGTTTTTCTAATTCCCAGTCATCTCCTTCTGTAGTTATTCCAATACTTTCTCCTGCTTTGCCCATTATCTTTTCAGGTCATATTTTGTTCATGGGTATCCACTTTCCCGAGCAAACATGACATAAACAGCAGTAGAAAGAATCCATATTTTGTGAGATAGTTGACTTGATCTAATAATCAGTCCAATATATGTTTCCGCATATACAAAACCTAATTTCATATGAGTTGCTCAGTGTACCAATATCACTTAAGCATATAATAAGACCATGGAGAACTTATGTAAGAAAAATGCAAGAATGACTGTGTCCAATCTTTAGCTGTTAACATTCATCTTCTACTGTTATCAACTTGGGTGTGATTCAACTTAATTCTAGTTGTTGCAATTGGATTGTACTAGTAACTAGGGGTGCAGGGCGGCGCCCGAACCCGTCCCGCTTCCTATTCAAAGCTCAAAAAAAAAAACAGTTCTAGGCTGACTAAAGTGTGTCACATTAATTTGTATTAGCTGTGTACTAAGCAGGCTGTTTTGCCGGACACCGTCCTGCACCCCTACTCATAACCAACCATCAAGATGCTGGAATGTTTGATACAGAAAATATAGAAAATGGTACAATAATGTGAAGTAGAAACTGTGTTACAGATATTTCAAGCCAATATACTATAATACATCAAAAGAAACTAAAATGTAATCAGGTGCAACATTTGTGGTAATCAGGGGTTGCTTCCGGTCCCTGAAAATCTGCAGCTTCTTTAAAACAGAAAACATACAAACCACGACGGATTTTTCAGCAAGCAACAAAATCCGGCAAAACAAATTACAGCCTTTTTTCCAAATGGGGTACTGGGGGGAATCAACATGACCACATTCAAGAGGGTGTGGTAATGATTTGTTAATTGTTAATGAAAACCATTTATAACGACAATCACTGACCCATTCCTTTCACAATTCAATGCAACGTTGGCTCTAGGGAACACATTAACACAAGGATCACAACTACGGAAGCAGAACCTGTACATGACGAACCACAAACACTAAAATAGAGTTCAGCAACCCACAACCACGGGCCGGGCCAATACCTTCATACCGCTCCGTGGACCCACCCTGCGCCCCATAACCCCGCACATCCGACACCGTCACGCCTCTGATCCCCATTTCTAGCAAACCCTGCAGAATTTCCGTGGAGCTATTTGAACGAACACCTCGTGTGCGTGAAAGAACTTGACAGACGGCTTGCAACAGCAAGCGGCACTCACCGACGAGACATGCGACACCCTCCATGGCCTGCACCAATTCGGCACGATTCACCGTGGGTCAGACAAATCTACAAACAAACTAGGAAGGTCCCGAAGCTCACTGGTGTACTGACGCACTGACCTCAGGATGGCCTCGATCTTGTAGAACTCCGAGTCCGGCAGGTACCCTGAAAAAGCGATGGATGGAAAAAACAGCTGAGCTCGATCAAGGACCCGAACGGAGGCGTAAACATCGCGCCTGGGCGAGGGGATAGAGGGGGCTGCGGACCTGGGGAGGGAGCGCTCTGGGCGCGCGCGGGAGTGGCCGGGCGGCGATGACGGGCCGCGTTGGCCTGGAGCCTAGACCAGCGCGGCGGGAGGAGGCGGGCGGTTGGGAAGGGTCGCCGGCGATGTGCAGCGTGGGGGAGGAGGCCGCCGGATAGGGTACCCACCGCGGAAGAGGTCGCCGGCGACATGATGAACGCAGTTGTTGGCGATTCAGTGTCGTCTACTGACTGCTGTTTCCGCACTCTGTCTCAAGGTCAAACAATCCACAATTATCGGCTGAAAATAGTAGTACGTCACTGTACAAAAACGTGTTTAATAACGACTAGATAATCTCGGCCGTTCAGGAATACCCGCCGACGAAGGAATAAAGATACTTCCTCCGTCCCAAAATACTTGTCGGAAAAATGTATAAAAATGAATGTATCTAAAACTAAGATACATCCATTTCTACGATAAGTATTCGAACGAAGGAAGTATTATCCAACATCGACAACGTTCCCCCCCCCCCCTCCTCTAGTTCAGTATA